ATGATTCCCGGGGTGATTCCGGGTGTCCCTGGGTCGGTCAGGATGATTCCCAGGGGTCTCATGGTCACTCTGGGGGTCCCAGGGTCAGTCAGGATGATTCCCGGGGTGATTCTGGGGGTCCCTGGGTCGGTCAGGATGATTCCCGGGGTGATTCTGGGGGTCCCTGGGTCGGTCAGGATGATTCCCGGGGGTCCCAAGGTCAGTCAGGATGATTCCCGGGGTGATTCCGGGGGTCCCAGGGTCGGTCAGGATGATTCCCGGGGGTCCCAGGGTCAGTCAGGATGATTCCCGGGGTGATTCTGGGGGTCCCAGGGTCGGTCAGGATGATTCCCGGGGTGATTCCGGGTGTCCCTGTGTCGGTCAGGATGATTCCCAGGATTCCCAGGGCGACGCCGGGGGTCCCGCTGCGCTCTCACCCGGATGCTCCTCAGGTCCCAGAGGCGCAGGGCGCCGTCGTCGCCGCCGCTGAGCAGCGCGGCCGCGTCGCGCCGGCTCCAGCTGAGCACGTTGACGTCGCCCTCGTGGGCCGCGGCCACGCTGAGCTGGCAGGCGCGGGCCGGCGGCGCCCGCACGTCCCACACGCGGATGGAGGCGTCCGAGGAGCACGAGATGAACACCTGGCCAGGAGAACACCTGAGCCCGGGCGGCCCCTCCCGAAACACGGGGGAAATTAAACCCCAAAATCCCGATAAGGAACACGGGGGAAATTAAACCCCAAAATCCCGATAAGGATCCGTAGGGAACGGGTGCGTTCATGTACAGCGCTGTGGCTGCATGTCCGGACATCCTCTGAGGACTCCCGATCCTTTTTTATTACTCTAATTTCCATATGCATAAATCCCACAATAGGTTCATGCATATTCATTATGCTGGTTTTATATTATAACTAGTTACGCTTGTATTCAGTTTTTGTTAGAAAGAAACTCTTGGGTCACTTTGTCTGTTTTAAGGTTTGAGGAGTCTTTCTTATCTCCAGACCGCCTGTGAACCCCATGAACCCCCAGACCCCAAAACCCCCAAATTCTCACCAGGGCTCTGAGGTCCCCAGGCCCCATGAACCCCCAGACCCCAAAATCCCCTAATTTCCACCAAATTTTCACCATGGCTCTGGGGTCTTCAGACCCCCGTGAGCCCCCAGACCCCAAATTTCCCCCAAATCCTCACCAGAGCTCTGTGATATCCAAAACCCCTGTGAACCCCATGAGCCCCCAGACTCCAAAACCCCCCAAATTTCCCCCAAATCCTCACCAGGGCTCTGGGGTCCCCAAACCCCCATGAGCCCCCAGACCCAAAACCCTCCAAATTTTCCCCAAATGCTCACCAGGGATTTGTGATATCCAATCCCCCTGTGAACCCCATGAACCCTCAGACCCCAAACCTCCCAAATTTCCCCCAAATCCTCACCTGGGCTCTAAGGTCTCCTAACCCCCTGTGACCCCCATGAGCCCCCATACCCCAAACCCCCTTAAATTTCCCCCAAATCCTCACCGGGGCTCTGGGGTCCCCAAACCCCCATGGACCTCCAGACCCCAAACCCCCCAAATCCTCACCTTTAGCTGGGGGTATTTTGCTAGGGCTGCATATGAACTAAACACCCAATTTACCAAGCCCAAAGTGTCGCGTTCGACCTCAATCTGAATGGATTTCCACCCCGTTAAATGCCCGCCCTGTCCCCCTCACCGAGGCCTCGCAGGGGGACCACTGGATGTCCTCCACGCTGCCGCCATGGCCGAGCAGCGGCCGCTGGTCCACGACCCAGCCGGACTCGCGCGGCTCCCAGCGATGGATGCGCCCGCGCACGTCCCCGGACAGCAGCCGGCCTGGACAGAGGGGACGGCCACGTCAAAACGCCAAAATCACAACGTTTATAACCCAAATTTCTACCGGGGGGCTGGGGGGTTCAGCGCAGCCTGACCCCCAAAATCCCTGGTTTGGTAAATTGGGGGGGGACCAGCAGAGACCACAAATGATTGCCCCAAATTCCTCTTGGGATCCTCTCCAGCAGCAAATTCACATTTTCTTGTCTCATTTCCCACATTTTCCCCTCACATTTCCCACATTTTCTCCTCTCACATTTCCCACATTTTCTCCTCTCACATTTCCCACATTTTCTCCTCGCATTGCCCACATTTTCCCCTCACAATTCCCACATTTTCTCCCCTCACATTGCGCACATTTTCTCCTCTAACGTTTCCCACATTTTCTCCTCTCACATTTCCCACATTTTCCCCTCACAATTCCCACATTTTCTCCCCTCACATTTCCCACATTTTCTCCCCTCACATTTTCTCCTCACATTTCCCCCCCTCACATTGTGCACATTTTCTCCCCTCATATTTCCCACATTTTCCCATCTCACATTTCCCACATTTTCCCCTCACATTTCCCACATTTCCTCATCTCACATTTCCCACATTTTCTCCTCTCATTTTCTCCCCTCACATTTCCCACATTTTCCCCTCACAAGTCCCATATTTCCTCATCTCACATTTCCCACATTTTCTCCTCACAATTCCCACATTTTCTCCTCTAACATTTCCCACATTTTCTCCTCTCACATTGCCCACATTTTCTCCTCTAACGTTTCCCACATTTTCTCCTCTCACATTTCCCACATTTTCCCCTCACATTTCCCAATTTTCCCCTCACAATTCCCACATTTTCTCCCTTCACATTTCCCATTTTCCCCTCACATTTTCTCCCCTCACATTGCCCACATTTTCTCCCCTCACATTTCCCACATTTTCTCCTCTCACATTTTCTCCTCACATTTCCCACATTTTCTCCTCTCACATTTTCTCCTCACATTTCCCACATTTTCTCCCGTCACAATTTCCTACTCTTTCCCCCTCACATTTTCTGCCACTTTTCCCCTTTTCTGCTTTTTTCCCCTCATTTTCCTGT